ACTCTGAAAGCACAGCCCACCATATGCAATGTTAAGTACAGTGTCAATATTCAAGTAACAAGACAACAAGCAGATTTGTTACATAACGTATGTAAATATTATTAACAGAAACTGCCATACGATATCTCATGTCTGGACGGTCTCTGATCACCTATCTCTTCTGCCTCCTCAGTCTCCTAACTAAGACCGTCGTCAACAGGTACAGCGCACTCCTGTGCTGTGCTGAGGCAGAGCTCCTGAGCTGGCAGCTGTGCTGCTGCCCTGAGGAAACTTTGCATACCCACCTGCTTTTGATTTGCTTTCAACTTATCAGTACAATTTATTTTTATCATATTCTTGCCTACCTTTTATTTCCACTATCTGCATTTCTTGCAGTAAGCATCCCTCAAGTACAACTGCCATTTAAATGATAACATCAAAAATATCAAAAGGATCAGTAATCAGCAATCATGTTTCAAAGCAGCTAGGCTTGAAATTTCTACCATAAGTTAAATGAAAAAGCTGATAAAAGTTCAAGTTTAGGGGAAAAAAAGGAAGAAAATTACAAAATCCAACCATGAAAAGCACTTGCTAAACAGGAATTTATTTGCAGTCTTTAAAAAGAAAGTCTTGCATTTTAATAGATTTTTAAAAACAATTAGCTATAATCTGTTATGTGTGTGAGACAGAAAGAGTTAATTGAAAGGTGGAATAATTTTTGCACTTGAAGTCTTCCAAGAAGTACCCCAAAAGAATTTCTAAGTTCAATTGATTTTAAAACATTAACTCTTGTATATCTCCAAAGAGACACTTACATTGCATTTTTTTAATTGAAAGAAAAAAATTGCATTGTTTTCTGTGCCATTTGTTTATTCTAGTTTATCAGTGACCAAAGCTTAAAAAGCAGATATGCTGATTAATCGCATCTTATCGATCAGTAGCGTAGGTCAGTATTTCACACAAATGTCTGCAGAACAATCTCTCCCAATCAAAAATTTATAAATCGATTTAACTTCCCGGTAATTAAAATTATTATCTCTACAAAAATAAATGTACTTTACAAAAAAGGTACATGAAATTTGTACTCAAGAATATCAAAAGCAAAACAGCAAACATTTCTATCAAACCAAGGTTCTAAGAACAAACTAGAAAGTACAAAACATAAAAGCCTGCAATTGTTTCAAATACACCTAGCAATTCTGCTGATTTTGGACCATTAAAACTGATTACTTAATTAGGCAATCATTCAAGGCATCCAAACACTCACAGCCAAAAACAGGGAATTATTAGCGTAGCCGTCTTCACCTTGAGATGAAAATTCTGAAAAATGTTGCAGACAAACTTTCAGGATCTGTCCCCATGCGTAAACTAAGCAAAATACTAAATTCTAAAAGGTGACATGCCAAAGGTCAGGAAAAAAAGAATTTACCTATAATGATACTGCTCATCTGCTTTTTTTTCAGGTGGCTAATATTTTAAACTACCTTAGAAACGTCAAGTTATAATACAGACGGTCTCTAGATTCTTGGAAGTACTACTCCCTTTCTCCCCTCTGGTCATACTCTTGTACTAGCTAAAAGTAATTAACAAAAATTTTGCTCTCTTGTATGCCTATCAGAAGTACCAGCCTCCAAAGTTCCTGCCTGACATGAATAAAAACAACAGAAAGATTTTCTATTTATGGTAAAAAAAAAAAAAAAGTACTGGAAACTCAACCACAGGAGTCTTTAATATAACTGAGGAAAAAACTCTATGTTTTCACTCAGAGACATTTTTAAGAATTTCACTGATTTGGTGCAGTCAGGAAAAAGAAAAATATTCCATTTTCAAAAAAGACGGTTCCTGAAATAATTCTAAAGTGACCCTATAAACTGTCTTTTTAGGAGAAGAAAAAAGAAAGTCAACTCACACATACAGCTTCCAAACAGAAGTCTTACCCTCTTCCAGGAAAACAAGGAGACTTTATTACCCTGCTATGATTCTTTCATTTCAGACATGATTAATTAGCAAGTATTATTATACTTCCCAAAACTCCCACCACACTCTTTGTGATCCATCAGCCTAGTTGTTGATAGACCCATGTGAACTAGCAAGTAGCCACCAGCAGTAAAAGACAAGTATCCAAAAATTCTATTTCAAAGAAGGAACACCTCTCTCCTAGCTTTGCCTCCCAAAATGAAACAAGCTGCTTTTAACTGCTTTCACGAAAAAAAAAATTTTTTTTAAGTTGGTCATTTTCTTAATAATGCCGTTTAAAATTTGAATAATGCATGCAACATATTCACTATTTAAGAATACATGGCATATTTAATCTGCTACGTACCTATATTTTTAAGCTGAAATTCTGAAAGACTTGTGAGTTCCTATAGTTTATATTGATAATGATCCACATGCACAGTTAATAAACAATAAAGATGATGTGAGCAAGCATGTTTTGGGAAATGGTTTTCATAGGAAAAAATGTTTCTTCCCCCACTAAAAGCTATTATGTCACACATGTAATGAAGAAGTGAAACAGAAATACAGAACTAAAAGGCAACACGAAGAGAAGAGAGCCACTCTACAATCTGAGTGAATGAAAACTCTGGTTCTCTGTATATTGTTCTAAAACACTGTTTCAAAATAATTTTCCCTTTAAAACAATCATTTTCAAAATGTCCATGTGAACCAAGAATGCGGCCATAACTGAATGTACTATAAATATGTATTTGAACAACTGTCAATTTATAAAGGCTGGGGTTTCCTCTTAAGCCTTTCAACTGTTATGTCCAAAAAACTTCACACATAGTACAATACTAATAAATAGATATTGTTGGTCCCAGGAAACATTTTTTTAAATCTATTCTGGTCAAAATATCCTTGCTTTTTTTTCCCCCGTTGTATTAAATTTAGGATCAAAAACATCAAAGCAGCTTCCACCTCGGACCTAACTTTTAGAGGATCAATGTGACAAGGCAGTCCCTGATAGATGTTTCTCTTGATAAACGACTTGTTCAAAAGAGACATTGTAGCTTTCATTTCCTGACCACAACACACTTTTAATTTGCAACAGCAGAGCTGCCAGAGTGTGAACCCTTGTCCACTTTCCAGCCTTTTAGGTTTGTAGCTCTGGTTCCTATAGGCCACACATTTGAGACAAACAAAATCTAAAAATAATCGGAGTAACAGAATTACAAAACAGGAGCCACTTATGCCACTCTATACATATGCACAAGTGTCTACTTTATAGATTATATACAAACTTTGCCTCTGCAGAATTCTAGTGTATAAAAACAAGCTTTCTGAATGAATATCACTTGCACAACTGGGCATTTAAACACAGAGGGAAATAAATTATGTGACTATTATTTAATAGTAAGCAGAGACTGGGGGGGTAATTTATACACTTAAATCTGCTGTTAAATGTCATGAATTATATGATTGCCTACCCCAACGTGTTTTTTACATATTACTGCAATAATTACTATTACTACTACCCAGAAATCACAATAAGTATCAATACGGTGAACAGTCAAACCATCCAATTTCTGTTCTCAGCACATTGTCCGAGCTCCGATTTAAAATTTATAAATGTAATATCCTCCTCATCACAGGCAGCAGCCCAATCTGCTCTGAATATATATTACAGCTTTAACATCACAGAGGGAAATCGCCCATCTGGCAATCCCATTCGCTCCAACAGCTCCGGGGGAAAAAAGCTGTGCTCTCTCCTCCTTAAAACATTTCTCAGGGCAAATTATGTGCATCTAAAATAAACAGTCTTCTTATTGATCGCTTCAAAGTCAACAAGTTCCAAATGCAAAATTCAATCAAATCCTTCCTATCATGTAAGAGCGGTGTGTGTTTAGCTCAACAGTCACCAGAGTCCAACCAGAAGTGTCTGTCGCGCATCGGCTCTTATAGTCCCTTTCCTTGTATTCACATTTGTGTTATGAGAGACCAGTAACCACGGCCACATTACAGACCCCTGGCAGCTATCTCCACTGCTATTTCTTTCTTTCATATTCTCCCTTTCCTCCTTTCTCTCTTTTCAGGGTGAATGCATGGTGGTGGGGTATATGTAACAAAAACAAAAAAATTTTTAAAGTGGACATATCCTTTGGTTATGCAAAATACTTTTTAACATCTTTTTGTTGTTGCTCCCTCCTAGTCTTAATTGAATATCACAAAGTGTACACACGGTCACAAGAGCTATTGAAAACCCCCTCTCACTCCATTTATCTGACCTCTTTTTTTTTTTTTTTTTTTTTGGTAAAGAAAGAGGAAAGAGATTTCAAACAAAGTCAATTTCAGTGCCTGCTTATTTAATTCTGTCACAGGTTAAAAGTAAAAAGCGCTGACAGGCAGACAAGTGAATGGCAAGGAAAAAAACAAAACAAAACCCTACCACTGTTCCTTAAAAGGCATTAAGGACTTTAAGCAATCAAAATACATTTTTTATTTTCATGTAAAAGGTATCCCTTCACTCACCCACCCCCCCCAAAAAAAACACACTCAGAAGAAGTGATTACTCCACAAAGTGCAATCATTGAGAGAGCAGAAAGTCAAATTGCATTAATAGATTGAGAAAAAAAAATTTCATCCACTTCTGTGTGTGTACATATATACATACACTTTCATTAGTAAGCAGTCTTTCCCCGCACTCCCGCCCTCTCCCCTCTCCACCCAGTCCCCTCCCCCAAAAAACTGCACACTGAGTTTAACTAATTTACATACCATTTGACTTCAGCGGTTATATAGTGCATTACTAGTAACATGCAACTTTGGAATTACAGCTAAAACCGATAAAGGTGGACTCCAGCAATCTATTAATCAAAAACTGAAATATACAAACAAGCGATAGCAAAAGCAAACAAGCATTTTGACAGATTAAAATATACATTATACATATATATATTTTAAAAGGAATTATATATCATGAGCAGCTCCTTCCCAAGCAGAGTCTTCAGTGGTTTTATCATGCTATTTAATTTGTCTTTCCTAGTTAGATGCAAAGGAAGTAAATTCCAAAACTGACATACCATAAACACTGGTGCTACTGATCATTTCTTGCTGGCAGCACAAAAAGCTGAATTGGATTTCTCACAAGCAGGAATTCCAAAGGTTGCTTTTCATTAAAGCCACTTTTCCTCTCAGCTATCAAATGTCACTGCCTTGAAACGTGGGCCCTTTCGTCAGGTATTCATTTAACCTACATGCATATAATTAAGGGGGAAAGCAACATCAACAAAAAGGGGATCTCAGATCACAGGAGAAGAAAGAAAGGAAAAAAAGCACATGACCAGGAATGCAAGTCCATGTCAATTTCACTCACTCCCATTGAAACTAACAAGAGCTCCGGGGAGGACGGTAATAGGATCAGTGGATTGTATATACCATTAAATTATACATCTTTCTCTCCCGTTCCTTGCCAACAATACGCCCACCACGCTGTACCCCCTCCAAGATGATGTGCTTACATTTTTCTGCAACCGATCTTCTGACATATTCACGTTCCTCCAGCCACGAGATTGTAATTTAACCTCAACTTTTTGTGTGTGCAAGATTCTTATTTACACTTCTTATTTACTTAGAAGTTAGTTCCCGAAGAAAGTCTAGCCCCACCCTATGGCTCCGCTTTCTTATTTTTTATCTTTGAAGTAAAAAAGATAGTAATAAGTAAGCCCATTATAGCGGAAAACGAGATTCTTGCAATCGCGAACTCTTAATCCCACACTATTGTTACAATGATTAAGCAGCAAAAATATGCATTATAATGTTTCGGGGCTACTTTGTACAGAGAAATTAGACAGCAGGTTGGCGTACAGAATAGAAACGAGTGCAAATTAAATTTAATGTTTACGGCACAACTCGAAGATCTCTTTTCATTACGGTCTTGAATTTATTTATATTCTTTAAAAATTAAACAAACAAAAACAAATTTAAACAGCTGGTGGAAAACTACGAAGCTCCTCTTACCTGAACGCGCGGAGCGAAAACCCGATAGGTTAGCGTAGCATCGATCCGATGTGTTTGCTGATGAATGGAAGCTAGGGTTAAGTGAAGGTGCCTATGATTTGAAATCATTCCAAGTTTTTGAAGGGAAGACGGACTGCAGCCTCTGCCATGTTGGAATTTCAAACCCAAAACAGCTGCTTGGAAGGAGCCAGCATGCCAGAGGCTGGGCGCAGGCGCAGAGCGCCGCCGAGCCAAATTCAAATCACTTTCACACTAAGAGCCAAAGATCAGTTTTCAAAGGAGAGAGGGAGAAAGAGACGGAGGCTGCCGTGAGGGAGAGAAGACGGGAGGCAGTGGCGAGAGGCGGGCAGTGGAGAGAGACGGGCAGCGGCAGGACCGGGAGGGAGAGGGAGAGGCGCACGGAGCCCGCGGAGCTGGAGGGGGAGAAAGGAGGCGGGAGGCGAGCGGCGAGCGAGCTAGAGACGCGCCAGAGATTCATGGGCAGGGAGGGCTCAATGGCCGCGCCGCGCCGGCCGGCCGGCCGCTCGGGTCATGTTACACGGCCGGGGCCGCGGCGGCCGCCCAGCCTCGCCAACGCGCTCACGCGGCCCGGAGGGGGCCCCGAGGTCATGATTACGAGCGCGGGGACCGGGAGCTCTGCCGGCCCGCACTCTCAGGCGGCCCAACCTGAGGAAAGGGGAGCGACGCCTCGGGAGGGAAGGGGCCTTTCTTTCCCACGCGTGACCGGCCGGCCCTAGCGCTCCTAACCCGCCTTAAAGGGCTCTCCGGCACGCCGCCCCTCCCCGCCCGCTCCAGGCCTTCTCGACAGCTGCGGCCGGTTCAGCCTTCCCCACCCCCAAGACTCGCGCACAGGACGGGATCTGGCCCCGAGAGCCGGGACCTCGCCCGCACTCTCCCCTGGGCCCCCAGCACCAGCCAGAAAATGACTTTATCTGCCAAGAGGAGGCAACTTCGGGGCGGGGGGGGGGATCCGAATTAACCCAGCTCCCCTCCCCCGCTGCCCTGTGAATCAATAAAATCCGGAGTGGCTAGGTGTGCGGTCCACTCTTCCGCTCTCTGGCTCCCCTCCCTACCTCCCCCAGGCGGCTCGGGCAGGGGAAAGCAGCGCCCGGGGGCCCCTGGTGCGGGCGGCTGGTGCGCAGGCACAGACGTTAGGCTTCTGCTTTCCCAACCCCCTTCTATGGAGCAATCTAGGGACCCAGGAGTGGGAAGAGAGTAGGGGCTTTGTGGCGCTGGGAGCTGAAGAAGAATGAAATGTGCAGTTGAGTGTGTTGCTGCATCCCAGGGAGCGGTGCAGTGCTGATTGTCTGTTGCTGAGATAGCCTTTTGTTCGGAACATAAGGTTTAAGAAACACGCACACGTTTTCTGGGGTCTCTTGTTAGATGTAAATGTGCTGCATCCAGACGCTTACTATGCAGTGTAAGCTCAGTTGGTTTACTAATCACCCCGCCCCACCCCCAAACAACCAGAATCATTTGAATGGGACCCTCATTCAGACTTCTAGGCTGCGAGTATTGCCTTCAACCTATTTCATTCTAGACTAGCCAACCATCCAACTGAGATAATAAAGCAAAACAATAACATTTGATCATGATGTCTACGAGATAATGTGCCCGGCAAAGTTCTTTAGAAATTGTAATGAGAAAGAGAGTGAGTGGGGTAATAATTTCTCTTCGTTTACATTAAATAGGACTTTAATAGATAAATGGTAAGTTTATACTCTGGCCTGGTGGACATCCGGTCCTCTATATTTCAAATAAGCTAAGAATGAAAGAGGCAAATTAAATATTGGACCAGGAGCCCATCAAGCTGAAAATGTTATCTGTGAAGGCTGGAACTGAAAATATACTTGTTTAGGACTGACCCTCCTCATAACGAACGGTATTCACATTTCCCCCCGCTTCTCAGCTATAGATTTAATAGACTAAATTACAGCTCTCCAGATGATGAAATGCAGCTTTTAAAATATACCAACTATATACTGCGAAATTAATTTCATTCTCCTTCTGTGATTTTCTTACCTTACCGATAGCTATTGAATGGATGCATTTAGCTAACACAAGAGAAAGAAAAATGATTTTAGTTAAATCTAAGTAGATGACAGAATTTAAAAGACAAGAAAAGGTGATTCAAAATCTTACTAAATATTTCTAGGGAATGAAATCTCTATTTGGAATAGATTTGACCTTTCTGTGTTTTTTTAAAAAAAAACAGGCTTCAAAATACAACAGAAGAACTTTATTCTGATCTAACAGAGAACACTGAAGCCCCTTTAGTTATATTTTACAAGATAGCTTTGAAAATGATATTATGAGAAGTTGCCCATTGGATTTCACCACAAAGGAATAAGTGTAGGAAAGTGTCTATGGGTCACTGTTGGACTGAGCACAGATGAATTAAACAACAACAACTGTGAAGAATTTATAATTTCAGTTATTGCCCATGTGGAGAATGCTGATGAGAAGTCCTCTGTGCAATTCAAGCAAAACTGCTCTGTCCTTGTTTGTTAAAAAAAAAAAGTTCAAAGCTCATCAACCTTTAACACTAAATTCCTAGTACTGAATTTACAGTTCCTCATGTAAACCAAAATACTGAATAAAATAGAAATAATGGAATGACCACTTCAGTAAAACACAATGTATTTTGACGATCGACTTAAAGAAATTCATTTTCAATATTTACAACAAAATAAGCCTTACTTTTAAAAAGGGGCAGGAAAAGTGTGGTTCCCAGAAGTTTATTAATAGATAAGTGGTACTTTTTTCAATTCTCTTATATATTCATTTGAAATACAGATTATAAAATCCATTGTTCAACATACAAATGAACATAATTAACTTGGAATCAAAGAAAGGGAATCTATTCAAAAGAGCCCTACTTATATTTACACAGAGTTTCCAAAGTGTCCAAAATTACATATACTCCCAGGAAAAAAAGGGTTATATAATAAAATATTATGGGATTTGCACGACTAATAAAATCCACAGTGGAGTTTGTCATCCCACTATTTCTAGCTTTCTTTCTTTCTTTCTTTTTAGGTATGGATAAAGCTTGCTTTTCTTCAATTACATTTTGCAGAGGAATATGAAACTTTGTTTTTCAAAAAGATTCATTCTTTGTTTGAAAAATTAGTACAACGTTTAGTTTTTGTGGTCTTAATGAAACTATTTGTAACGTTGTAATACGATTAAGTAGCATTTTAATAGTCGCCGTATTCTATCTATATTTTTTTAAGTTTTATTCAAAAGAAATGTTTTTGGTTGTAACTGACACCTACCTCTATAACATATTTTACAAAACTTTTCTTGTGATGCCATGAAAACAAGAAATTGTCTTTAAAGAAAGCTGATTGACTAGTCAAGGAAACAGTTAATTCAGTGAAAAACTGCTAATTTTTTCCCACTGCATTATATACACTGCTTATCTCTTACTTTTTTAATGTAGAGAGGATATATATAATGAATTTCTAATACACAGTATATTCTGACTTGGGCTTTTCAAGAAAATCAAAAGAAAAATAAACGTAAGTATCCTTTTTTCCTTCAGGAGTGTGTGTGTTTGTGTGTGTGTGTGTGTGTGTGTGTGTTACTCTCAAGCTAATTCAGAGGGAAAAATTCATTTACTTTTTCCTGTTCTTATTCTCACTACACATATAAACAACAACAATAGAAGTGAAGGGTAGGGAAATAAGCAACGTGATACTGAATGGGATTTTGCAGGTGACCATGTGTTTGTCTGCACTGGACTAAGGATAATTTGACCCAGGGTAAACACAAAGATGTGCTTTACCTATGTGACGGGAGAGGAAAGAGAAAGGAAAAGATGAGGTTAGACAGTGTAGAGAAGATGAGGGAGATGCGGGTGACAAGATGCTTTACAGAGAAAAACAAGTTTCTATAATGTTTGGTTTATTAAGAAATGCTCAACACAATTCAATTTAACTTTTAAAACTGCTTTTTAGTTTCAAACTCAAGGGCTAACTATTTTAATAAACATTAAACCAGTAATATCTTCCTCCAAACTACTGTTTCAAAAAACATTCCAAAACTTAGAGCTGTTTACTAGACGTACATAATTTTTTCATATTGCTCACAAAATCTGAAGTTAGTCTTACAATAATGCAAATTACTGGCACAGTAATTTTTTAATGTTTCCATAAAATTGCAGTTTAAGGATCTTCATTTGCACTTCAATTAAGACTACTGAGTTCTTATGCACTATCCCACCTTCTCAAAAAAAAAAAAACTAGTGAAGACCTTGACCTCATTTTTGTGAAATTACTCAATTTGTTAGAATTACACTTGAATACAGGTACTGTCAAATAGTATTAGAGTGGTCCATATATCTCCTCCATGATCTAACCCTACAGTGGAGAGACAACCGGAAAATCCTGTGATAGGTTCACCAGAGATATTTTCTTGGTTTTGCAAAAGTGTCTTTTTTAGTAACCTGAGGATTATATTTTTTCATTCACTCTTTAAATGGTGGTACTTTGTATATTTGCTGCAACCTCTGCCTGATTTTGCATGACTCTGTTTCATTTAGGAAGCACATACTGAACACTTACTGTGGTTAAAAGTATTGCACTAAAACTTGCAGAGGATTTAAAAGAAAACTGACATTAACATTTTATGGATGTGCACAGATAAATATAGTTCAAAGTGAATGTTGAACTACAGTAATAAGTGACTCATAAAGAGGTTCTGTCCAGAAGATACGGGTTCTTTCATGAAGGAGAGGGCAGTTTTCCTGGCCTTTGTAGTCTTAATCTTTATTTTCCAATACAACAAACCACTTGTAGTTTGCATATACTATGTCGTCTGTTTCCTTTGTGCCTTGTTTTTCATTGTGCAACCTGCTTTGCCCTCCTTTTCTGTGAGCTAACTCCCTGCAGACTCTCAGCACCTATCTCCCCCAAGGAGACTTCCCAGCCTTCCTAGGGGCACTTCAGTATCTTTCCCCTGGGCTCTTTTCAGGCTCTGTATCTCTCTCTCTCTCTCTCTGCATTATCACATCATTTTAAAAGTATCTTTGTGTTTGAGCCCTCTGTTAGATTGTGAGCTTCTGGAGGGCAGGCAATCATTGTAACTTCCATCTTTGTTTTATTTTTGGTTTTGCTTTTGTTCCCCCCACCCCCACCCCGTGCTTAAAATAGTGACAATAAACATTTAGTGATTAAATGTTTATTGAGGAAATTAATGAGTTGACAAGTAGAGGAAATAGGGATTCACAAAGGCAGTGGGGAAGGAAACTATTGGGGCCTTTGCAGGAAACAACATATAATCTAGTTTGGTTGAGCCTTTGCTGTACACAGGCACAAAGGGGGAAATAAGGATGGGAATGAGAATGGGGGATGCATTATGGAGGAACTTCATTCTGTCCTTGGATGAGAGGTTTGCATTTCAGTAGGTAGATAATAGGGAGCTCTGGAAGGTTTTGATGCCAGAGATTTATGAGGTCTGAGACCTGCTTTAAGAAGATACAGCTAATAGAACTGGAAATGGGGAGACCGGCTGGGAAGTTACTGCAATGGTCTATCATTTTCTGGTTCCTCAAACTGTCAATCCTTCTTGTAGGGTTTGGCGAAATGATTCCTTGCCTTTTTTATAGATGGTCTATCTGTATTGATTGCTCAATACTACACGTTCATTTTGTAATATAACAAAATGTCAGTGTGTTTAAAGGCATTCATTTAATGTCAAAGATATAAAAAGGTACAATACGTTGGAACGGAATGTTTTCCTTCCTCAACCTGAACATAGTCTTTCTTCTCATTATTTCACCTCTCCCTAACCCACCACCACCACTGCCACTTTACAATTAGTTCCACTCAGCCTGTGCTTTTAGCTTAGCAGGTATTTCATTTTCAAGGGAAGTAATGCCTGAAGATAAGGAAAGTTC